TATAAAGGAAAATGTGATACACCATTTCCACTTCGATGGTCTTCACCAGAAGTTTTACTTTATCAAGAATATAGTTTCAAATCTGATGTTTGGTCATATGGAATACTTCTTTGGGAAATATTTTCACTTGGTCAAATGCCTTTTAATGATTCAATAACAAATGATATGGCTGCTAAAAGAATTAAAACAGGACAAATGTTAAATAAACCATCTTTAGCTAATGAAAATATTTATCAAGATATTATTCAACAATGTTGGATATTTAAATCTGATGATCGACCAAGTTTTTCAATTTTAAAAGAAGTTTTTAATAAAATCTTTCAACGATCAACACCACCATTGTCATTTTAATGATTTATTTATTTATTTTTCAAATGGTTTCTGTATTTTCTATGAAATAAATTAATAAAATGCAAATATAATATCAAGTTGAAAAGTTTCTTATATATCAATGATTTATTCATAAAATCTTTTCGTATTTTAAGTTTATTTTTAACAAATTGATGTCATTTTTCGAATATGAATTTCGTTAATAGAGAGTATCATAAACTTTAACGTCTTTTTAGAGAATACTTTTGTGTCACTTTAAAAGATTTCAAAAACAACATTGATCTGTTTTTACAATGATAATTTTGGATTTCATCAGAAATAAAACCATTCGAAAATCGATATTCTCATATTTTCGTTGGGATTTTACTTAGCGAACATCTTGAGGATGTGACACGCTTTTATATTCTACAAAAACGTATAACACAGATTAAATGAACCTCTCACAATTTTTTCATTTATTCTTAGACATAGAAAAAAAATAACTTTTTTCATAAAATGATTCCTTGTCAAATTCTCTACAATCATAGATAATTTTATTATCTTAAATAATCTCCATTATTTGGAGACATGCGATACAATGAAAATTGATCCAAGAATTCTAACTTTCAAAGGCATTGTTTTTTTCGATTTTTTTCATAGCACATTTTTATTCTTTGATCAATGTTCTTTTGGATGTCACTCTATCCCATATACAGTAATCCCATGGATTATATTCACAAGAAATCATTTTATAAAAAATGTTTTTTTTTTCTATGTCTATTAATAAATGAAAAAATTCTAAATTCTGAGAGATTCATTTGATTTGTGTCATTCATTCGTTCTTTAAAAACTTTCTTTCTACATGGTCTGATAGAGAAAAAATACTCTATTTATATATTATATGATCAAGTAGTAATGCTGGTTTGAAACTACATTTAATCTATACTGATTCTATCTATGTGATTGTGGTTGGATCGTTTCTGATCGGTTATGTTCATTTTCTGACAATTTCTTTGCCATTGGAATCGACTGGAACTATATCGAAACCGACTCAGATTTCAACAGGTCCAGTCGTCGAAACGATCGACTTGGGTACATAGCCTACTTACTTTTTTAGTATACAAAAGTCATTTAATAATCAACTAATGGAAAGTTTGTGCAATAAACATTAGATTATTGCCTTATGGGTTTCTAGGTGTGCGATATTCAAATACCGTGGATTGACGTCAATGCTTTTAAATTAAAAAGAAGGGAATTTTATAAATTTCATCGACGAAAGAGACGATTCTGTACTATTTTTGTTTTTAGATAGATAAAAGAAGTACTGATGAATTTTGTTCGTCGAATCAAACAAACAATAAATGAATTGAATTTCTTTGAATTAGAAACAATTCGTTTAGAAAATTTTGATCAACAAAAAGCAATCATAGCGACAAGGATTTATATTATACTTTTCTCAATACTTTTAACAATTCTGGTTACTTATTTGACATTACAAGGCGAAACTCGTACTATCACTCTTAGTAATCCATTAGAATCCGATTTTACAACTCTTTTCAAAGAATATCCAAATAGTTTAACATGTCCATGTCAACAAATAACAATTCCCTATGAAATATTTCTGAAAATAATAGTTGAATATCATCCAATTTGTTCAAGTATATTTGTTAGTGATGATTGGATAAATCTCTTATTTAATTATAATATGAGTTATTTTTATCCTCTTGATTTTCGTTCATCATCTTTGGGACAATTTCAAATACTTTCATCATTATGTTCACTTTCCAAACAATATCTTGATGAACATATTCAAGATTTACTTTCTGATAGTTTTCTTACACCAATAGCTCTTTCATCACAATTACTTGATCATCAAAGTCAATCACAAAGTTCATTCATTCGAGCATCCTCAACAAATGCTTTTTTGCAATTGTTACAATTAATTCGTAGTGCAACTTCTATTGACGTGTTACAGAACGCTGCACAAACTGCACGACTTTCGCGATCGCGGGTGATCTATGATGGATTAATAACGACAACTCTGTATAGCACCCATTTTTCTGATCGAAATGGTACTATTTGCGGTTGTGATCTTGAATCTACTTGCTCATCATCATTTTCTGGCTTTTTTAATTTATCAGCTTATGAGACTGTGCCTGTTGGAGACTATACATTCTCTCAATCATTGATAACCAAAGTGCCAGGATTTGTTGTTGGATGTTATGCACTTGAATCACTTTTGAAATCATCACTTGAATGTTTATACGATTTACAATGCTTAAATATTATATTAAATTTCTTTCCACATATCAATATAAACAATATTACTTATCTAAATAGAAATAAAACAAAATATTTAATTGATACACTTGTTAATGTACTTGTCGAAAATTTATTTATTGAAAATTGGACAATTAATAGTTCATTTCAAAATTATTATAATATGTGTGCACCTCTTTTATGCACATATACATTTATTCAATATAATAACATATTATATATTATAACACAAATCTTAGGACTTTATGGTGGATTAGTTATTGTTCTTCGTTTTATTATACCTTATATACTCCTCAAATTTAATAAACGTGTTCGTCATGAATCAACAGAAATTACTCGTAAGTTTGATTATCTATTTGAAGGAAGAAGATTGAGTTATGTACGATATGTTTTACTTCCACTGAAACATGAGTTTTTTTTTCATTCTGTAATCTGTATACACTCTCGAAATATATTTTCTTAATTCTTGTTTTTCTCGTATAGAAACTCGTTTGATCGATCGTTTTCGAATCTTATGTCAGTCAATGATTGATCATCTAAAACAATTAAATTTATTTAAGAAATTTGATGCAACACGTAATGATCCTTATGAATTACAAACATCACGTATAGCTACTCGTTTTTTTCTCATTGTCTTTCTTTTAACAATGTGTATTTTGGTAATTTATGTCCTCGTAAGTGTTCGTACACAATCATTCACTATTTTACAACCATCACAGAGTACTTTTGAAAATCTACACATGAAATATTCAAGTGAAGTGAAATGTGCATGTAAACAATCATTTATTTCATACGAAAGCTTTATATCTTTGTTACCCGAGTATCATCCAGTCTGTTCAAGTTTATTTGTATCTTCGGCTTGGCTAGCCTCACTTTCGTCTGCAAATTGGTTGGATACATCTTTTAGTTTTAAGGATTTTCGAGCAACAGGTATAGTTATTTTCCAAGTGATTAAAACCTTATGTTCGTATGCTGAAATAATAATAAGAAATTCTTGGCAGAATTTCAAACAATCTCTATATGTTACCGAATTTGCATTGTCGAAAAGTGAAATTATTGAAGAGATTCAAGGAATAATAAGTCAATTTCAATCAGGTACTATTGCTGATTTTAAACAAAATTTGGATACTATTCGATTACACACAATAAATACATTGAGTACTAGTATGGTAAATGGTGGTCCTGGTTCTTATAAATTATTGAATACTACTGATACTTATATTGATTTTCAATATATTTCAGCAGATTGGGATGAATGTTCTTGTGCATTGACTGATGATTGTATTGTTCCAATGGTATTTTATGAATATCCTAACTCACTTTCTCCTTATTCACCTATTCTCTTATTCAATGTTCCTGGATTATTCGTTGGTTGTTTTGCTATCCGATCAACTTTTCATTCATCACTTGAATGTTTCTATAATGAAACTTGTCTAAGTACAATTGAAACAATGATTCGTTCTAATCGATCTATTAGTGTTGTTAGTCTGAATCAAAGTCAAACTCGATATTCACCCAATTCATCTATTGAAACAATATTTAATGAATTGATTTTGGAAAAATGGGGTACGAAAATTGAATACGATCGTTATTATGAAGTATGTGCTCCTATTTCTTGTACTTATACAACTATAAAACATAATGATCTCACATATATTGTTACATTTTTACTGGGTTTATTTGGTGGTGTTTCCATATCATTAAAAATTCTTGTTTTATTTCTCGTTCAATGGATACGAAATCAATCTCGATCAAATTTGAATCCATCGAGTAAATAATTAAACAAGAATAAATATCGATATTATAATATTTCATTTTTAGATTTGAACGAACAAAATTTTCTTCAACGTTTCTCTCAATTAATAAATAAATTGAAGATAAAAATCCAAACACATAATATATTCGAAAGTGAATTATCATGGTTTAATGAACAACGTCGTCAAAAAGAAATCCAAACTACTCGTATTTATTTTCTTCTTTTATTATTTCATGTAATTATTCTCATTAGTTTTACTTCATTTTCTGTTTTAACAAAATCTATTACAATTGATTATCCAACACAATTAATATTCGATAATCTTCGATTAAATTCTCGAATTTCATCAACATTAGAATGTTTTTTGTCAACAAATCAGTATTTCATATAAATCATTTATTTCAATTGAATCTCATTTTCATCAACTTTGTTCGAATGATATTACTAATATGAATTCAAATTGGACACGTGTACTTTATTCATATGGAATTGATGATGAACATTCTTATGATGATTATCGTTTATTTGCTTTACCACAATTTCGTACATTATCTTTATTATGTAATGTCTCGAAAACAACGGTGACAAATAATTTAATTCAATTTCATTCAAAAATATTAATTAATAAACAAATTCAATCGTATGATGTTATTCAATCTCAAAGTGAAAATGCAATTAGACGATTTCGTTCATCATTGTGTAAAACATTTGTTTGGACATTTAATTTTATTCGAGAAATGAATCAAGGAAATGGAATTGTTTCATCGATTTTTTCGAATTGGTATTTTCAAACATTGAAAAAAGAAGACGAGGCTTATTTATGGACAAAGCCACGTTCATATGGAAATCAAAATAATTGTTCATGTGGAATAAATTCAATGTGTAGTTCATCAGCAAAGATAGAAAATTCATCAATATCTGGTCTTCGAATTGGTTGTTCTATCATTGATTCGTTTCTTCAATCAACTTTAGAATGTTTTTACAATATTAGTTGTATTAATTTATTAAAATCTTTTTATTTCGTACAGGATGTTTTTATTTCACCATTAAATACAAATCTTTCTTCTTCAAATGAAACTGTTCAAGATCTTATTGATCGTCTATTGATTGATGAATGGAAATATAATATTTCTTATGAAAATTATTATCGTACTTGTTCACCTCGTTTATGTCGATATACAATTGAAGAACGTGTTGATACATTATATATTATAACAAGAATTATCGGCTTTTATGGAGGATTAACTATTGCACTCAAAATTATTACACCTCTTCTTATGAACATTATTCAATATTGTTTTCGACGATTTCAAAATAGAATTGTTATACAAAATCATTCTGTTTTATAGAAACATCATTATCAATTATATTTCTCGTATAACTTGACAATCTATCAATTGTAGATTTTTCTCATAAGCTTTCAATTCTAATATAACAAAATAAAATCAAAGAAACACAATGTATTTTTATTGAAATGATTTCAATGTGATTTTAGTGTAGAGAGATGTAACAATATCAATAATATTAACATTGGATGATTAAACTTGAAGAAACAATCTCAATAATGATCATTTCGTTAGAAAATCTTATCAAATGATCTTTTATGAAGAAAATAAAAGATTGTTCATTCTTTTTCATATCGATTCAATATCTTTGTTTTTCTCTTGTTCTTATCATTGATTTCAACATGTAAAATCTTTTTTTTTATCATTTGACGCGAAACCAATTCGTTGTGAGACAACAATTTTCAATCGACAAGATCTTGTGAATAATGACGGTTGCAAATATCTTTATTTTTATGTTAGGAATTATATTTCAGGGAAACCTCGAAATGATTGAAAAATTCTCAATTTAAGAAATTCACCTTTGACTTCATGACAAAACTGAATGGACAAGATTTTTATTACTTGAATCGAAATTGAGAGGATATATTAAATTTATCTCTACAAAGTTTATCATTAATTATGCTCATTTCATTCTAAAGCGTTGACACAAATGTCACTTTATTAGTGTTATCTTTATTTGAGAGACGAATCTTAATCTATTCATTCGAAAATAGAATAAAGAAGAATATTTACAGACGATAGATGAAGAAAGAAAAACAAAACAGAACGATATTATTAGAGATATTTTCTATATCTGAATGGAGATTAAAAATACTTCGACATGTCTATTAGACATAAGTAAATTCAGGAAGAAAAATGATCCATCGCAAAAAAGGGCACAAAAATACGATGTACTCGACATAGGGGTTGGTCGGATTTGGCAAAAACAAACAAGACGACAGAGTGTTGACATATTCTATCATATATTGAAGTAATTCGTATGATAAGGAGGAAAATATCGATCTCCAGAATAGAATTAGTATAAGAAACATTGAGTATATAACCTTGAAGAACAGGAAAAAATATGTCTTCAGACGACTTATAATCTTTGTCCATTTCTAGTCGCTTTTAAGTACTTTCATTGAATATAATTAAGTTTTCTTCATAAATCTTTGTTCCATTTTATCTTTTTACTCTATAATAGACTGAATCGTCGAATATGATGATTCTCTCTGAAAGAAATGCAACTGCGGATGACATTATACTTTTGTTTTCTTTATTTTTTCTGCATAAGAATTGTATTGTTTTTGTAGAAAATATACAGTTATATATACAAATAAGAGAAATAGAACGACAATGTTACAAATATATTATTTTTAGATACAATTTTCTACTTATCATTGACATTTTGTCTCGAATGAAACTTTTAACTTTTAAGATAAATTAAAAACATGATTTCATCATTTCGTTTTTCGTATTTTATCCTTCTTTTACTAATTAATATTTGTCCAAAATCGTATCGAATGGTTTCATCAATCAATCCAACTGATATATTTTCGTTTAAGGACAAAATATTATCAATAATGGACACAAGTCGCACAATTGGTGTGTAATACAGTTTTAAAGTCATTCGAGATATGTAAATTAAAGAACATGTTTCTCTTTTAGTCAATCAATATAAATGTCCAAAAGGATGGGAACGATTCGGAAGTTCTTGTTATTATTTATCGAATACGACAAGTACAGTTTCTGAAGTTAAAAAGACATGTAATTATACATATTTAACTGATTCTCAACTAATCAGAATTAAATATATCGTTGAATTAATTTATGTTGCTCATCATTTGATGAGAAATAATCTCCTTGAATCATTTATTGAAATTGATCCATATTCATTTAAAGGTAAATCGTTCAAAATCAACATTTCTTTGCTTTATTCTTAGAAAACGAATTGTTTGTTTTTAGAACAAACAGAGTGGGAGTTAAAACTAGCGGAGTTATAACTCGGGTTATAACTTTTAGGTTATAACCAATTAACTTTTTAGTCGAAAAGTTAAATTAGTTGTAACTATTAACCATAGTTATAACCTTCAACCAGAGTTATAACCTCCAACCACAGTTATAACCTTCAACCGTAGTTATAACCTTTAACCATGGTTATAACCTCCAACCACAGTTATAACCTTCAACCGTAGTTATAACCTTTAACCAGAGTTATAACTATGGACCCTGGTTGGAACTTCGGACATCATTAGCTTTNTTCATCCCCGTATCACCATCGTGAAGCTTTCTTTGAGTTGTCAAATGCTGTAATCTGATTGGCTTGGACAGACAGATAGACAGACAGACAGACAGACCGACAGACAGACAGACCGACAGACCGACAGACCGACAGACAGACAGACCGACAGACAGACAGACAGACAGACCGACAGACAGACAGACAGACAAACTTTTAGCATTTCGAGCCGTCGATTTAATCGCTGTATAACCCTTTCTTTCAGAAAAGGGAATATTGAAAATGAATTGATAATGACTCCATTTGATTTGTATTCAGATGTTCTAATCATTTTTGAAGGTCTTCATTTCCAACATTAGAAATATCTAATGATTGAAGTTGAGTAAATTGAATCAATTCAAATAATGGGAAAAATTAGCGATTTCCATTAAATTTGCGGTTTTAAATATAAATTCTGATCGTATCAATGTTTTACTCTTTATTTTTCAAAAACAAAACACAATACGTTTTTCTCAATAAAACAATGTCTTTCAATGTTGAAATTCTTTTGACGACATCCAATATCATTCATCAGGATCATCACCATATCACACTTGTTTGGAATGACTTTGACGGATAAGATATTTAATTCTGGCGGATTGCTTCCATCCACCATACCTGTACGTGTAAGTAATAGCCAACTTTCCGCTTGAAAACTAATTCCATGACCATCATAGGTCCACGAAAAATTATTTTTATCCTGGTGTAACTTTATAGATAATTTATGAAGTTTTTTAGTCCTTTTAGTCTTCTTAGAGTGTGAGAATGAGAGAGATGGTTAGGGTGTGGGTGACGGTGAGGGTGAGGGTTCGCTGAATTAAAGGGACTAAAGGGAGTAAAAGGAGTAAAGGATTTAAAGGGCCTAAAGGATTTTATAGATTAAATATAAAATACACCGGGATAAAACTAATTTTTCGTGGACCCCTCTTGATCGAGGGCTCCTTGTTGAATATTCACGTTCAAACAATCAAGAACCGTATATGCACCTGAATTTGGATCATATTCAAATCTCTCAAATGTACATTGTAACGGATAGTTAAAATTCGGATAATTCGTTCTGTTATTTATTGTGATGAAAACATTCGGTTGTTGTTCTTGTTGGTTTAACGACATTACGTGAACGATTCTAAAAAAATCAGTAGAAACATAATCAAAGGCAGTGTGGTACGATGATTCTCTCTTATACGAATGAAAACTTCACAAATACGTATAAACAGATATATATATATATAGAGAGAAAAGAATTCATTCACAAGTCACGTTGTTTATAGTCGAAGGTAGTAGAACGAAAAGTGAAGAATAACATACACATCCTACAATGAAGTCAATTTGTTTCTCGGTGGAAATACAGCTCACAAGCAAATACACATTTTAAAAGATCTCATTCAACTTCGTTTTCATATATATAATACTTTATTTCAATATTATCGACAAGGATCTGTCACATTGCATTACTATTTCCAGTCGTAGATAGTCGAACTATTTTGGGCAAATGTATGCAGCTATTGACTGTCTAGATCAAGAAAGTCGAGTTTTACCCAAAAGCTTTAAAAAAAGCTTTTGACTAAGGAGACTGTAGAGCAATAGCAACTCGTTTCATTACAATTTGATTGATTTGTGTAAATAATTAGTTTACTTTTTCTTGCGTCTGGTTATGTAATTCGACAGGATGAATCTTGAATGTATTTGATAATTTCTCATGTCGCTGAATACTTCGATCGATCAAGGTCATCGTAATCATAGAATTCCTTAGGCCCACCAATCCAATGCTTTGGATCTAAGTTTCTGGCAACTCAGGTTCAACAGCTCGTGAGAACTGAATTAATGAACTGGATGATCACTTCAGTTCGTATAATCTGAACTGTTCGAACAGCTCATTTCAACTGAACCGAACTTGTCAGCGGCTTCGGTTGCCACAAACTAAACCGATCAATTATTTTAGCTCGCAAGAATTAAACTGTTCATACAGTTCAGTTGCACAGAACTAGTTCGGTCAGTTCCAGTTGTGTGAATGGCTATGAAACTGTTACATATCTACTCGAACCCAAACCACAATCGTACCGGACGGAGTACAACAATGCAATAGAATTCTCGTAGGATTCTATCAAATGAGCGGAGCCGATCGGCTTCAACATCGAACATGCGAACCTGAATTGTGAATTCTATATATAATGTTGCATAGGTGACAAAATGTGAACTGATTTGTTTATGTTAAACGTACTTCTAATTTTATAGAGGTAATATTTAACAAGTGTCATGATTCAGATTCAAATTTAGAGTTTGAGAAGAATCAGTTAATGCTATTTGTTCATATACAAAAGAGTGTGTGTTATTTAATAAGCCAGTTTATGTGCCTATAGTTGAATAAGTGAATAATCATATTCATTTGCGACTGAATCTAATCTTTTGACAAATAAGTAGGTGATGAAAATTAAATCGATTATATATCAAATTCGATCAAAAATAATAGCTTCAATTTCAAACTCTTGTTTTTTATCTTGTAAAAAGATGTAGAAGAACCAGATTTCTTGTTCTAAGAAGAAGTTTTGTAGAAAATCAAGTGAATTTCTTAGAAGATTTCATCATTTCCAATGAGTCCATGTTGAGAGTGAATGTGATTTGCCAGTGAACTAATCTACTCGTACTTACACTTTCAACACAAATTATTTTCAATTTATATATTTTAATCATAATCTCTTTTGATGTTCTCGCATTTTTTCTATACAGTAAGTTTTAGCTTGTCAATAATCAAAATAATGCCATACATCGCCTCATCATATCCATCAACTATCATTCGAATTTCAATTCATGTTAATGTGACAAAGCATTCATAAAAGAGTTTTTATCAATATGAACTGAAAAAGAACAAATCCTATTGGAAGAGACATAAATAAAATCGAAACAAAGTTCGAAACAAAAGAACATTATTTTTTAAAATCTTTATTGAATGAAAACTCGTTCTTGTTTTTATTTCAAAGAAATTATTTGTGCAATTGAAGATTTAACTCATAGACGAAATTTTATTGACCGAAAAAACATATAAAGTATAGCTTTTCTGTTGGAATAAACGAAAGTTCAGTTGTTAGAAGGTTTCGTTTAAAGGTTGATTCGATTGGATATTTGTTTTAGTTCCGATTTCGACTGTGGTGTTATTGAATTATTCCAAAGCCATAATTCTTTCAGCGTCTAAAGAAAGATCGATGAAAACATTCAAAGAACTGAATAAACGAAACTGACTTGATTCTCTTGAAGAGCATCAAGGAGTTCCATTGCTCCCTCATCTCTGATTTGATTTGCACTAAGATCCAACAATTTCAGTGTCTAAATAGAGACAGATTTAGGTGAAGACGTTAAAATGAAATGATAACTAACAGAGTTTTGTCTTAACATAATCGAGAAATACTCAGCTCCTTCGTTTCCAATTCGATTATTCCACAAATGTAATGTTGTCAATGTCTAAGAAGAGAAATAAAGAGTGTGAAAGAGAAACAAAGGAGAGAGTTAAATGACTTGATTGCGCATCAATGCTTGAGCAAGAAAATCAGCTCCATCGTGTGATATTTGATTGTGAAGAAGATTCAATGAAGTCAATGTCTAGATAATGAAGATATTCGGAGAAAATAAAGAAAAGGAAAAGGAATTTACTTGATTTTCACGGAGAAAACGTGCGAGATGTTCCACACCTTGATCTCCAATTGAATTCTGAGAAAGATTCAATGTCTTCAATGACTAGAAGAATAAATTATCAATATTATTTACAAAAGAGAAATGAAAATAAAGTCACTTTATTGTTTCGTAGAACATTTACAAGATATTGAACATCTTCATTTTCGATTCCGTTATTGTATAAATCTAATAAACTGATTGTCTAAGTAAAAACAATAAAATTCTCCACAAAGACAAAGAATGAAAGGAGAATTACCGTATCATTTTGTAGAACATCAGCAATACATCGGAGTCCCTCACGTTTAATTCCATATCCACCAAGATCAAATGTTATCGATGATGTCTGAACAAATACAAAAGACGGGTTTTCATATTTTTAATCAACAATTTATGAATAATGAACATTTCATAAAAATCAATAAGATACCTCAATTGAATGAGTTTTACTTGTGACATTGATAGATTGTTTAGTAAAATGATACGGATGATTTGTCCAAGAGATTTGATGTCGTACATCACATGTATAATTATTAATACACATTGGTGTTGTAAATAACCAAACTTCACGTCTTCTTGGTAAGAAAGTAGAAGTGACAAAGCAAGATTTTGTAAGTAAATAGAATGAGGATCGAAATGATTCAATCATCAAATGAAGATCAATGAAATTTTGATCATCAGAATGAACACATGAGAAGAAAAATTGAAATTGATCAAGTTCAGGTAGATTTATTTCAATTATATTTTCCCAAGTCGATCCGTTAAAAACATAATCGATTTCTTGTCTATGAGAAATAACTTTGAGATGTTTTAATGAATGAATTGGAGAGAAAAATAATGGAAGATTTTGTCGAGAAATTGAAAATTTCGAAATAGTTAATGATTTTAACGAGGAATTCAATTTTGATGGAAATGATTTGAAATTATAATTAAAATGACAATTCTTCATAATAAATGTTTGTAAATGTGGAAGTTGTTCAAGAATAGAAAGATAATTTTCATATGAACATTGATCAATTGATAAATAAAACAATTGATTTGATTTTGACCATGTTAATTGTTCAAATGGATAATCAATATTACTTAGAAATAATCTTTGAAGATTTCTACATTTGTAAAGAGATTTTAAAATAATAATCTATATTATTCTTGTATCAAATGAATGTTTATACAAATGAATTGATAATGATATCAATTGTTGAATATTTAAATGTTCAAAGAAATATTCCAAATCTTCATTTTTAATATAAAACAATGTTAATGATCGAAGTTGAGTAAATTGATCCAATGAAAATAAAGATTGAAATAAAGAAAAAAGATTCCATTTTTCATTATCATTTTTGAAATGTAATGAAACAACACATGCAGGTGAAATACATCGAGATAAGAATTTTATATAATAATGAGTTTTGGAATTTAAAACCAAATTGAGTTGATTATACGTTTCTACAAGTTTATAGAAACGTTTACAAACACTACGAATTGACAGAAAAATTGTTAAAATATCACAATAATCGAAGATATGATGAATTATTTCCACAGGAAAGTCAACAAAAGACAAAGTCGACATTGTCAAACGTGTTTTTTTTTCACTTCTCACGTCAACGAGATATGCAAAAATAAACAAAACACGAGAAAAACATTATGAATTGCTATTGTGCACACGCAGGAAAAATGTTTTCATTACACAACGATGAATGTATATGAAGAAAAAAAAGCGAAAGAACAGAAAAGTTAAATCGCCGTTTTTTCATATAAAAGGAAGTAAACTTGTTTCTTAGATATTTTAATTCTACTATAAAATTACCAATGTTGCATCGATCTATTTCAAGAGAAAAATATGTACATCTATTCGATTTGATAACTTTGAAACATCAAAACTTGACTTCTCTTTTTAATGTGAATATATGATAAATCTTCATTCATATGAAATCGAAATTCTATTCGAAATCAATTATTTGTCTTCTATCAAGAAATGAAATTATTACGTCGATTCTTCTCTATTAGTTTATTTTAATAAAAATTTTCTTTATTATCGATGGATTAAAAATAAAGAAGAGAGAGATGTGTGATTAACAAGCACAACTGGCAACACAATATTTGCAACTTGTACCACTGCAGAAGCTAAAACAACTGCTGACACAACTGGCAACATAACTGTCAGTACAAAAAGCACGTTGATGATGTAATTCATTTGGAATTGCCGATGCTAAACTATTTGTAATCATTAAGAAGAAAATACAAATAGAAATGAAGGAAACCAATTGATTGATGAGTTTTGCCATAATTTTCTTTAGTGAATATTCGATGATTGAAGAAGAATATGAAATTATTTCATCGTTCTTATTCAGGTTTTTATAGAAGGAAATTCGAATGGTCATTCTTCGAATGATTTATCAGCAGATGTCCTTTTCTCCCTTGAAAATCCACTATACTTCGATGAAATCATAGATAAAAAGTGAATTTTCAACGAAATCGTTCGTTACTTCTCAGATATGTGTTCTCTTTGTTTATCGAGAAATTCGTCAGATGGTCAATAATTCAAGATGAAAAAAAAAGCATTTATATTAAAAAAAAAGTAAAAGTTAATACACAAAGAAATTCTATTTAAAACAAATGTTAAGAATGATAACCTATTCGATCAAATAATTTGGAAACATAAAATCGAAATTTTGATCGATATTCTGATCTTCCATAAAGAAAAATCAAAGTNAATTGAGATGGAAAACAATATTTCTCTAAGTTGTCTTGTGCTTGATTTATTGATTCAATTGTTGATTGAGATAGAGATATATCTTGAAGAAGTTTTCCATTACATAAAGGACAAGAATGAAGATTTGCACAACAATTAAGACAAATAATATGTTTGTTACTCACTGAACACACCATCATGGGTAATCTATAATGATGGAAAATGTCAAATGAAAAAGTTGATTAGATAATCAATACCTATTTGAAGTCTTAATAACTGATTGATCAATAGTAAATCGGAAGAAACAGATTGGACATCGTGTTTCATGTAGAAATGTCAACCATTCAATTGTGACAGGTTCCATCGAGACCGATGTGTCAACATTTTTGTCGTTAACAGAATAGTTTTCATTTTGTAATGTTTGTGTTGTTCGATTTTGTTTGACATAACGTGAAATCATTCGACAAATAGTACCTGTAAAATAATTCGTCGCTTCAGAACGTCTTTTTTCTGCATAATTTTGAAAATAATTTGCATCATCAACTTCTAATTCATCCCATGTAGTTCCACAAGTGTCAACACATTCCATGATTATATTTATCGCATTTTGATCAACTCGATTGAGTTCATTTTTCAGACAATGTAAAAGTTGTTCATCATCGAATGAAAATGTTTCAGTACATTTTAATGAAACATTAGCCGAGAAACGAATTAATTCAGGAAGAATACAACCTCTACAGTATGTTCCGCCACCCAATGCATATACTAATAGACGCAATATCGCTTCTTCATGTATGTTACACTCTGCGATCGTCTCATTGTTATTTAAAATTCTACGTCCACCATAGGTCAATGACATTTTTTTAATAGGAGCTCCCAGTTTCTCTCGTATTCGATGTTTCAGATTGAGAATAGTATCCATTTCTGATAGTTTATATCGAAATATGTGTCTATAATTAAGACAATCAATA